TTAGCGGTTAATCCGTAATTTGTTTCCACTTCCGAGTTAAGGAGTTATTTATCCCGTTTCCGCGACGATTAACGAATTTCTTTTTTTTTTTTATTTGAACTCCTTCTCTTTTTTGTCTCTTTTCGTTTATCTTTGTTTTTTGGTTAATTAAGAGGTGAGTTTTTTTTTTCTTTTTTGAGCAAGAGAAATGTAATTTGCGTATACAGGTGCAAATTGTGTTTAATTTGTATTTTGTTTTTTGGAGTAGAAATGGTTGATTCTGTTCACTGAAAAGTGAAGAAGTTGGGTAAATAAACGTTTCTTTTTTTTTTTTTTCTTTTTTCTTGTTTAATAAAATTAACACAAAAGCAATAAATATTTGCTCGATAATTTTTATTTAAATTGTAGATTCTACAATTTCACGAGGTTCGAAAGAATCTTTCTATTGTATTTCTGTTGAAAACAAAACTTCAATCCTCCGTTTTTAATGAAATTTCAATGTTTGATAATTCCAATTATTATACAAGTTTTATTCTCCGTTCTATTAAATTTCTATATATTTAATCTATTATTTTGTTCAAACTTGGTGCTAAAGTTTTAATTAATAAATCGTTTGATAGATTAAATTCGTACAAAACCGTTTGATTTTATTCGTTTTATATTTCGATTTCACGGGATCGATGTTGACACAGATTTTGACGTTTTACAATTCTATCCACCATTCTCTCCATTTTACGACGACAATTCCCACGAAATGCGTAATAACAATCCACCATTCAAAATTTTCCAAATTTTTCAACAACTTTTTAATCCGACGGTGGAAAAAAGATATTTCAAAATCTTTATCCAACTAATATTTTAAAACCTTCGAAATCTAATGAAATTGTTAATGAAATTACACTCGGGCCACAAAAATTTAACAACAGCGAATTCGATCCCCTTAATTTTTCCCAAGGGAAGATAGTTTAATACCTAAAATCTAAAAGTCAAAGAGTTTAAACGAAAAGTTACATAAAAAAGAAAAATTTAAGGGAAAGAAATCGATAAAGGTGAGTAAATAAAAATTCTCATTTATAAATTTTTCCTTTGCATATAAATCACATTCGAAATTCGATTCGATGGAATGATTCGAGCACGTTTCCAAAAAAATCCTTTCCAAAATGTGATATTAAAACGGAAACACGCGTTTTCTCCCGTTGCAAGAAGATGAAAGATCCCGTTTCATCGAGAAAGGGATAGAACGAGATGGTATCGATCTCCCGTTAAATCATATCGTATAGAAGAGAAGCATTATGACGAACGGTGGTCTAATAACATCGAACGTGTTCGAACTCGGTCGTTCACGGGTCACGGGTCACCATTCTTTACCACCTTCGTTTCAATTAAATCTCGAAGCGGAGGAGGGCGAAAAATATGCTTGGGGAGGAAAAGGAGGGAGGGGGAGAAGGGATGATTTACCAGCCCATGGCATATAAATTACATTCATGCGCCGCTTCCTCCTTTGACTTTGAATTCGTCCAACATCTCTTCTCCCGCGAATCCTCCTTTGAATCTTTCTATTTTCACATAGACTTAGACGATCCAAGAGATAATTAAGTTCCTCGTGCCTCTTTCTATTTTCTCTTCTTTTTATTATTTTTTCTTTTCTTCTTCTTCTTCTTTTTCTTTGACGATGTAAATAAATAAATAAATAAATACGATATATATTCATAAATAAATTGCATCATTCGTGAACACGTTTTAATTAAAATGTACGTATGTTAATAGACGGGATTAAAATTTGTTTATTTTATCAGGTTGTCGCATACGAAATCGGGTGAATTTTTAATAAGGCTGCCGTCGGTGTTTACAGCTTTATCGAAAAATAATAATTTAATCAAAATTTGACACGAAACATCCGATACGTTCATCGTCCATTTCGATATACGTAAGATTAATCACTATTTAATTTTTGATCGATTGTTATTAATAACTTCCTTGTTTATTCTTTTTATGGTTTTAAAGATTTGTAAAATCGATCATTTCATTTTTCAACGATAATTTAATAACGTTTTAATATACATATCGAGGATTATAATTTTATTCTTTCCCTTTTTCTTAATTTTTATCAATTTGAAATTAATGTTATAATAGATATTAATGGTATATATTAATTTTGCTCGAGATAGAGATTTTTGAGAAAAGAATTTTATATGAATAAGCAATGGAAATTTAATCTAATTTAATTGGCATTTATCTTTATTTTTCTTTAAAAAGGAGAAAAATTCGATACGATCTTTATACAGATTCAACCCTGAAATAATAATATACGAATGAAAACAGGCGGATAATGGAAATGATTGAACACCACCGATCCACGTCGAATTACGGTATTCATCCAATTGGACTTAGTTAGTTTAATTACGGTGGAAATAATATCTCATCCAGTGAAAGTTTTAATGAACGCCTATTCAAAAAGATCACGTTTCCCGCGTAAATCATTTCATACACGGGATAAAGATATTACCCGTTATTGTTCTCCGGGGATATAAATGGAATAAATAAAACCAGCAATAGTAATAGCAAAATGGAAACGATTTAAAATAACAAAATAATAATAATCGTTGCAATCTGTCAAAATATTCTCTCTATCACAAGAATCACAAGAACAAACGCACAGATTGCAACATTTATCATAGGTAGATCTATCTAAATGCAAAAAGTATTGCGCATATATATATAAAACGCTCAAAATTTAATCAAACATTTTAATAATTCGTTTTAAAAACGAATTTCTTTCTATCTCTGAATATCCAATTCACTTCGTTGTAAACGAGCGATAATAAATAAAAATCGGTCTAATCGGTGCAACACATTCGCAAGGCAAATATCGAAAAGCTTTAAGCGAACGTATGCAAATGGCCCGAGATTTCACGCGCGGAATAAGTCTAAGTCTAATTCGCGCGTTTTCCAACAGCGTGCGATAAGAAAAAAAAAAGAAAAGAAAGAAAAACCAATGTAACATTACTAACGACCACCTGTGTTCTCGCGACAATGAAACATAAAATACGAGAGCTATAAAGCTGGAACCCGGAACACGCCGTGTGCACACCGGACATGGAACGTTGAACGCGTAACTAAAAACGGAGAGCGAATTTACCTTGCCATCGAACAATTTCCCCCTCTTCCCACCACCGCCGCCACACACACACACACACACACACACACACACACACACAGAAACAACGCGCAACCTGCGAGTC